CCAGCACTTGGGAGGCAGAGGCAGGCAGATCTCTGTGAGTTCAAGGCCAGCCTGGTCTACATAGTGAGTTCCAGGACAGCTGGTGCTACAGAGAGACCCTGTCTCAAAAAGACCAAAATATAATAATAATAATAAAAATAAAATAATCTTTTTAAAAAGTAAATGCTTAGAAATTATATACATATGGAGTATTATAATGGCCTTTAGAAATGTTTCAGGACTGGCATGATGCCTCAGCAAATAAAGGCATCTGCCACCAAGCCTGGTGACCTGAGTTCAATCCCCAGAAACCACATGATGGGAGAGAACTCCTACAAGTTGTCTGTCCTCTGACCTCTACCTGCTGGAAGTAGCTCCTGAACGCTCACCCATAGACAAAATAAATGAAATGTATTTAGACAGTTTATATTACCTAGAGCCAGCAGTAAACTGGTCTCAAGCAACCCTCTGGAATAGCTAGGGTCACAGCTCTGTGCCACCAAATCTAGCTTCAACAATTTAAATTTTTTTTTTTTTTTGGTCTTTTTGAGACAGGGTCTCCCTGTAGCCCCAGCTGTCCTAGAACTCACTATGTAGACCAGGCTGGCTGGCCTTGAACTCACAGAGATCAGCCTGTCTCTGCCTCCCAGGTGCTGGGATTAAAGGTGTGTGCCACCACGCCCAGCCTTTTTTGCTGTTTTTTAAAATTTTTTGTAAAAAATTTTACCATCTGTAGGATTCTTAGAAGTAAATGAAGGTGTTTGAAAAACAATATACATAATCTATATGCACTGAGGAATATTTAGTAAATATATAACATTAAAAATAATACTATTCAGGGGCTGGAAAGATGGCTCAGTGGTGAAGAACACTAGCTGTTCTTGCAGAAGACCCAGTTTCAAATCCCAGCACCCACATGGCAGCTAACAACTGTCTGTAACTCCAGTTCCAGGGGATCCGAAGCCCTCTTCTACCTTGCATGGCACAGTTGCATTTGCATACATGCAGGCAATACACTCATACACATAAAATAAAAATAATAAAATATTTAGAAAAATAATAATACCATTCAAACTGAAAGTTTAAAAAAAAATGATGTAATGTTACAGAGAGACAGATTCTAGCTCAGTTTGGGGAAGAAATGCTGTCCTTGCAAGAATAAGCAGATATGTATTAGATATTAAGAGATTTGACCATGGATTAGCACTTTAATGTGTTTAGGAGACTTGTTACAAATTAGTGCCGTCTAATGGGAAATGTGTTGATTGTAATCATTTAATCTAGGTATGACTGCAAGTATAAGAGCTATTTCTTTTTTGTTGTTTTTTTAACTATTCTTCAGGAGATTTTGATGAATTCACTGAAGATAATAGTGATGTTATGTTGAAAAACATAGCAGATGACCTTCGGAATTGCTTACCTCTAGAAGCTGTGCTTTCCTCAGAACATCTAGCCCTTCAAAAAGTAAGTATGTTAAATCAAAGTCTCTTTGTTCCACTCAAGAAGTCTTCTGTTTTTCCCTAACCCCACAACCTATCCAGTCTTAGTAGTAAATTCAGTTTTAAGAAATTTCTCATTATAGTATTTCAGCCATGTTCCCACTTCTTTTGAGTCTTTGCACTCTCTGGTACTATTTATTCAATCCTTTTTTTTTTTTTTTTAAAGAATCCTGTTTATCAGACTGTTTAAAAAAAAAAAAAAAAAATCGGCCGGGCATGGTGGCGCATGCCTTTAATCCCAGCACTGGGGAAGCAGAGACAGGCGGATCTCTGTGAGTTCAAGGCCAACCTGGTCTACATAGTGAGTTCCAGACAGCTGGGGCTACAGGGAGACCCTGTCTCAAAAAGACCAAAAAAAAAAAAAAAAAATCAAGCCAGGCATGGTGCTGCATGCCTTTAGTCCCAGCACTTGGGAGGCAGAGGCAGACAATCTCTCTGAGTTCAAGGCCAACCTGGTCTACATAGTGAGTTTCAGGACAGCTGGGGCTACAGGGAGATCCTGTCTCAAAAAGACCAAAAAAAAAGAAAAAATCAAGGACCAACAGTCTGACTTTCAGCCTATAAATACCTGAGCAGAAGAATTACACTTTATGTATCGTTTTTGTATTTTATGTGTGTGTTTGTGGTTTTAGAGGCTTGGTTGGTTGGTTGGTTGATTAGTAGGTTGGTTTGGTCTTTTTGAGAAAGGTCTTACTATGTATATCTGACTGGTTTCAAAGCTGAGGTGTCACAAATGGGAACCACCATACCTAACTAGAAGCTTGAAGTTCTAGGGCTTTTAAAAAAGTACTTATTTTTATTTTTTCACTGGGCATTGTGGCACACGCCTTTAAATCCCAGCACTAGCACTCAGGAGGCGGAGGCAGGTGGATCTCTGTGAGTTCCAGGCCAGCAAATTGTTTTTAAATACTTTTATTTTATGTGTATGAGTGTATTGCCTGCATGTATGTAAGTGCACCCGTGTCATGCAGTGCCAGTGGAGGTCAGAAGAGGGTGTCAGATCCTCTGGAACCAGAGTTACAGATGATTGTTAGCTGTCATGTGGGTGCTGGGAACTGAATCCAGGTCCTCTGTAAGAGCAACTAGTGCTCTTAACTGCTGAGCCATCTCTCCAGCCCCAAAGCTTGACGTTTTAATAATATTTCAGTAATTTGAAAACTTTACTCTTTATGTAGAGATGGCTTGCCTAGTATTTTAATGGTAAGTAATTGGCATAAAGATTTACAAGTTCTAGCGCTCATTTCCATTTCTTCCTTTGCTAGTTTGATTTCTTTGTTTTTTGTTTTGTTTTGTTTGGTCTTTTTGACACAGGGTCTCCCTTCCCTATTGCCCCAGCTGGCCTGGAACTCCCTATGGAGACCAGACTGGCCTTGTACTCTCAGAGATCCACCTGCCTCTGCCTCCTGAGTGCCAAGATTAAAGGTGTGTGCCACCACACCTGGCTGGTTTGATTTCTTTGTAAAGTATAGTATTTAGCATAGAGATAATCTCTGATATTCCTTTCAACTGAAATTTTGTGTGTATTTCTCATACTGATGTTTTATAACATTCCGGATGAAATAGAAAGTTATTAGTGTCTCAGTCATGAAGTGAGGAGCAGCTAACTGAATGAACAAGTAAGCTGTCTCTCTGCCCTTGCTGCCACTCCTGTTTTGTCTTATTTAGCAATAAAAAGAAGCTTCTTTTTACTTTGTTTCTTTTGATGTTTTTCTCTGTCCCCCAGATACAGCAGCAGCCAGAACCCACAGTTCACGTTGATGCATTCCTCTATGACGAAGACTTTATTGATTCATTATGTGAGGAAGGGAAAATGAGCAGAAACTACTGTACTGTGTGTGGCTCACACCAAACAGCACCTTTAGGTAAGCATTCATGTTTGCAACATTGATGTGTTTATGTGGATTTTTTTCCATGTCTTGAGTGTATAAATCTATGACCAAACTACTGGATATTTTTTATAATAAAAAGATAACACAGCTGGGCAGATACAAAAAGGTCTAATTTTTAAAACTTTATGGAAGAACTTGGTTTGACAAATGAAAATCTGAAGGTCGGGCTCTGTCTTCCCATATGAATCAGTTATAAATAATGATTAGATGCTCACAACAGCTCAGATAGCTAAGGAATCTGAAATGGCTATCACCATAAGTGACTCTTGGATGCGTACTCAGGTGACAAGAAGTTTGTCTAGCTTCAGGATGCTAATGGTAACTGTAGCCCCAAGAAGAAGCACCAGTGTGGCCAGGAGTGTATAAGGATGAGGATCCTAGGGAGGCCAGGACCCTTCCTATCCCCAAGGCATACAACTCTGAGGTATAGTCTCTTTCTAGAGACTAGCCTACATGCTTCTATTTAGTTGCCACTTTCTATTGATTATGATCAAGGTCTCCCCCTCCTGACAGTACATTATGTAGGATATAATATTGTGAAGTTTCGAGTTACCTCCAGATTAGAAACCAGGTTCTGGCTGTCACAGAAACTATGGTACAAAACATAGAAGTGGAAGCAGTTAAACTAAGGGAAATGGGGGTGCTTGATAGGGTATCTTAAAGTCCTTTCATGCCACTCCTCTCACTCCAGAGCTGGTTGCTCAGAGCTGCACATTATAAAGTCATTAGTTTGCTAGGTTGTAGTCTGAGCAACAACATGTGGTTTTGAGGTTAGCTCTGGGGTAGGATGAGAAAACCTGGTAGTATGGAAGACAGAAAGCTATCCTGGGCAGTAATAAGTTACAGACAAGGGAAACTCCCAGAAAATATCAAGCAACAGAAAGGAAATGAGGAATAAGGGCAGTTATATGAGTAGCTTGTCCCTAAAGGCCTTTTAAATGTGAGACTCAATATTTGTTCTTCTTGGGCAGGAGAAGAGGCTCACAGGGTAAAGACATCTGCCACCAAATCTGACAACTTGAATTTGATCCCCAGGACCCACATGGTAGAAGAAGAGAACTGACCCCTGCAAGTTGTCCTCTGACCTCCACACACACTGTAGTGCTTGAGTACACACACACAAAATAAATAAATAAATAAATAAAATACAATAAACTTTTTAAAAATTTATCTTCCCAGGCTGGAAAGATGGCTTAGTGGTTAAAAGCACATACTGCTCTTCCAGAAGACCTGAGTTCAATTCCCAGCAACCATATCAGGGGGCATATAACCATCTGTAACTCTAGCTTCTAGGAGACTGAGTGCCTCTGGCCCCTGTGAACACCTGCTCTCACGTACACATATCCACACAGTCACATACACATACACACATGATTAAAAATAAATACAAATCTTAAAATTTGTACGGAACAGCTCAGATGAACATAAATTTATCATATCAATTTTTTTTTCTAGGCAAATCCTGAATGATTTTCAGTGATTAAGAAAGAACATGAGCTAGGTGTGATGGCCAACACTTTTAGTCCCAGCACTTGGGAGGCAGAGGCAGGCAGATCTCTGTGAGTTCAAGGCCAACCTGATCTACATAGTGAGGTCCAGGCCAGCTGGGGCTGCAGGAAGACCCTGTCTCAAAAAAAAAAAGAAAAGAAAAGAAAAAGAAAGAACATGAAATATACTTTGTAAATATAAGTAAAAGAATTAAAAGTACAATATGCAGTTACTAGTAGTCAAGTCAACTAATTTATGTTCACTCTGTTCAATTCTCCAGGATTTATTTCTCATTCCTTCTCCCTTGTGGAGTTGAAGTTCGTTTATCATCATGTTCTCCCTGATCTGTCGGGAAAGGTTTTGGTTGATGTTGGCTCCAGACTTGGCACAGTCCTCTATGGGGTAAAGTCCAGCTTATGGACATACTCAACATTTGGAAATACTTTCTTCTTCTGCTAGCAACAGCTTTGTCTGCCACCATCCAAGGTGACAGCTTGGCTTTGTTATTAAAGCAACAGGTTAAGGTTAAATTAGGATCCATTGGCAGGCTCCTGAATTCTGCTTGATGGTAATAATTGAGTTTGGAATTTCAAAGACCAGCTGTCTGATTTCCTTTACTGGTTTGTCTCCACAACACAAATGACAGATATAAACACAACAGACCATGTGATTGACTGACCAACTCGCTAATGTTTTGTGGAGATGGGGGTGGTGGCAAGGCACAGTCTGATCTAACCTAGGCTGACCTCTAACTAATGTGTACCTGAGGATAACCTTGAATTCCTGTCCTCCTGCCTCAGCCTACAAGTGCTGTGATTACAGGCTTGCCTCATGCCCAGCTTCTTTTTATTTGTACATTATTAAAACAAAATGGTATGCTGATCTTTGATAAGAACTCATAAAAATGGCAATTTACTTGACCTAAGAAATCCTGTATGGAGCAGATTGTGGTGGTGTATGCCTTTAATTCCAGTACTCAGAAGTGGAGGCAGGTGGATCTCTGTGAGTTCAAGGTCAGCCTGATCTACATAGTAAGTGCCAGGCTACAAGGAGACCCTTTCTCAAAAAGACCTCCAAAAAAGAAAGAAATCCTTGTATGACCATACTGAGTCACTGAATAGCTCTAGACCTCTGTTTCCCCATCTGTAAATGAGTACACTGAGTGATATCCAAAGATACATCTTACTCCAGTTTTCTGTGGTCCAGAACTTGAACATTACTTTTGTTTCTAAAATATCATTTCAATGTAGCTTTTGTTTTAAATTCAGATCATGAGTGCTTCTAATCTTTTGAATTGTTTTTTAAAAATACTCAGACGTGGTTTCTGGTAGTTATTAGTGGACTTGTTAAAACATGTGGCCAACAGCAGTGGAGATCTTGCCAGAAACAGGTGCTGTCACTTCCCAGCTTTGTTTCCTGCTCTATGCAGAAACAACTTTTTAATGTTCAACTTAAACTTTTATCTGTAAAATAGATAATCTACAATTTGAGGGCTTCTGTTATTATTGTTTCTGTTGTTCTTTGGGGATTGGTTTGGTTTGGTTTTGGTTTGGTTCGAGATAGTCTTGCAGTATCATCCAGGTTGGCCTTGAACTCAAGTGATCCTCTGGCCTCAGCCTTCTGAGTGCTAGGATTTCAGGCACTTCTGCTTTGCCATCTTGTCCACTGGTTTTTTGTTTAGACATTAGAGATTGTAGTTGTTTATCATATTTTGTCAATGCTAACTCATTTTCTGACTTTTGTTTTCAAAAAGCATAATGCTGGGCATGGCGCCACACACCTATAATCTCAGCATGTAGGAGGCTGAGGCAGAAGGATTAGAAGCTCAAGGCCAGTTTAGGCTACCTATTAAGACCTTTCTCAAAAAAAGAAAGGGAATAGGGAGATGGCTCAGTGAGTAACATCACTCGTAGGAACCTGAACTGGAATCCCCAGCATCTACCTAAAAAGCCATTCATCATCACTATACGTGCCTAGGACCCCACCATTAGGGAGTGGAGATAGGCAGATCCTGAGAACTCAGTGGCCAACCAGCCTAGCTGAGATGGCCAGCCTCCAGTTCAGTGAGACACTTTGTCTCAAGGCAACAAGATAATGAGGGACAGGCCTAGAGAGATGGCTCAGAAGGTAAAGAGCACTAGCTGCTCTTGCAGAAGACCTTAGTTTGAATCCCAGCACCCATAAGGTGGCTAACAACCTCCCTAACTCCAGTTCTAGGGGATCCAATCCCTCTCCTGTCCTCCACGGGCACTGCACAACATGGGTGCACTTAAACACATGCAAGCATAACACTCATACACATAAAGTAAAAATAAATTTAAAAAAATGTTTTTAAGTTGATCCATTTGCATCATAACATGTCTTCATATTTTAGGGTTACCTTTACAGTTCAGCAGTGCAACTCTATGGAGTAGAACTGAATGGAGATTTTTGCCAGTTGCAGGAAATGATCATAAACAAATACCAATTCAGTGACAGAATAAAGGTACTCTTTAAAATATTTTTTCTGTTATCTTTTATATACCTTACCTAATTTTTCTGTTTTCTAACCAATTCTTGTGACTACTATATAGAAACAGATTGAGTTGACCTGGTATTTTATTAGAAAGATTTTTTTTTTTCATATCAGATACAATTTTGATAGCAACATTTCGGGTCTCTAGAGGTTGGGCGTCAGTGTATCTAATTAAACTGAAAGTGTTGAAAGGAAAGGGCTTGCCGTGCTCATAGTTATTTTTCTTTTTGTAAGTTTTTGGGGGCTATCATGAATGCCATAGAAGAGCAATCATAGCGAAGGATGTTGGTCTGGGGTTAAATTATAATAAGTTTTCTCTTTTTTCCTATAAAGGGGAAAAATAGCAAAACAAAAGGATTTTGTTTCGTTTGTCTAGTTTTTGCTAATGCAGTAATCTTTATCATTTCACTAAGATGCAGTAGTACTTGTCATGGCAATAGAAAGTATTACCTATCTCTAATATTAAGGACAGCCTAATATCTAAAACCATTTCAGTAAGATTAAGGATCAAGCTGGGCATGGTGGCACAGCACTCAAGAGGTAGAGGCAGGTGGATCTCTGTGAGTTTAAGGCCAGATGGTCTACATAGCAAGTTCCAGGCCAGATGGGGCCACAGAGAGACCCTGTCTCAAAAAGACCAAAAAAAAAAAAAAAAAAAAAAATTAAAGATCAAAGGGCTCGAGAGACAACTCAGTGATTAAGAGCACTTGTGGGTCTTGCAGAAGACCCAGGTTTGATTCCCAGTATCCATATTGAGGGGTATCTGTATCAAGCTCCAGGGGATGTGATGCTTTCTTCTGGTCTCTGCAAGTACCTACACAAACATGGTGCACATACACATAAATAAAAATGAATAAATTTTTTTAACAGATTAAGGATTAAGCCTTCCCTTTTTAAATGAAAGGTAATTATTTTATTCCCTCCCCCAATTTCTTCCCACCCTCTTGGAAATATAAAGGTAAATGATCAGAATGAATTTATGATTGAGTAATAAAGTAAGTTCTTGGGATACGAGGTGAAGTCAGTGGTAGAGCACTTGCATGTTGTGCACAAAACCTGATTCAATCCCCAGCACTACAAAAAAATCAATTCATGTTTTTTTCATGGGGTATTTTTTTGTTTGTTTTTGTTTTATTTTGTTCTTTTAAAACAGGATATCCTGTAGCCCAACTGAGCTATGCTACTGTACCCAGCATTGTGTTTTGTTTTGAGTCAGGGTCTTACTGGGTAGCCCTGGTTGACCTGAATTTTCATGAGTTTTCTTACTATCCCATATGTAGGCAATGATAGCACATTGCTCGTATGTAATAATCACATAACTAATAGGAATTTGGTTGAAAATTGAGATTTAAGTCAGTTGTGGCACACGCCATTAGTCACAGTACTCAGGAGGCAGTGGCAGATCTCTGAGAGTGAGGCCAACCTGGTCTATATAGCAAGTTCTAGGCCATCTGGAGCTACAGGGTTACACTATCTCAAAAAGAAAAGAAAAAAAAATTGAGATTAAGATGAAGAATCATAGTTTATCAATGAATAATCTAATTCTTGCTTTTGTTTTTGTTTTTTAAACATTTTTTAAAAATTTTTATTTCATGTGCATGAGTGTTTTGCCTGAATGTATATATGTATACCACATGCATGAAGTGCCCTTGGAGACCAGAAGAGGGTGTTGAATCCCTGGAACTAGAGTTATAGCAGGTAGTGAGCTGCCATGTGGGTGCTGGGAACTGAACCTGGGTCCTATGCCAAAATAAGTGCTCTTAACTGCTGAGCTACCTCTCCAGACCCTTGCTTTTGTTTTTTTATTTTGTTTTGGTTGGTTTGGTCTTTGGTCTTTTTGAGACAGGGTCTCTCTGTAGCCCCAGCTGGCCTGGAACTCGAGATATGGACCAGGCTGGCCTCAAACTCACAGAGATTCCCCCTGCCTCTGCCCCCCAGGTGCTGGGATTAAAGGCATGTGCCACCACCCGGGCCTTGTGTTTGTTTTTTAAAGATGATGATAAAGATGATGGTAAAGGGGTGTAAAAGATGTTTATTTGTGGGACTCGAGAGGTGGCTCAGTGGTTAAGAGCATTGGCTGATCTTGCAGAGGACCTGGGTTTGATTCCCAGCACCCACATGACAGCTCACAACTATCTGTAACTTCAGTTCCAGGGGAATCCAGTGCCCTCTTCTGAACTCCACTGGCATTGCACAACATGGGTGCACTTACATACATGCAAGCAATACACTCATATACATAAATTAAAAATAATAAAATGTTTCAAAAAGATGTTTATTTATATTTTTAAAGTTTTTTTTAACCACTTTTCAAAAGAAATTAAAGAGATACCTACCTACCCACATGCTTTTCCTGGCTTGTGGCTTCTGTGGCTACCATCACAACCTTTTGGTGAAAAGCTTTTTTTTTTTTTTTCCCTTCAGTGCTAAACATCAAACAAGAGCCCTTTTTTATGCCATCTTGTTATTGAAAACCATAATAATCTCCTTCCTTGAAGCTATAAACATTGGATTGAAGGGTCTTAAAATCAACAAAAATGATTTCTAGAAATATTTTTGATAGTGCCTATTGAAATCCAAGCTCTTTTTTTTCAAGCTCTTTTATTTTTTTTTTGAGGGATGGATGTTGTTATATTTTAGCAAGGCCTTCCTCAGCAGTCTACAAAGCTTCAGTTGTCTGCTCAGGTTGAGCATGTGCTCAGTGAGGCTGGAGTTCAGAGCTTAGAGTTTGATCCCCAGCCCCATGAAAAGAAGAGAGAGAGAGAGAGAGAGAGAGAGAGAGAGAGAGAGAGAGAAAGAGAGAAAGAAATAGCTGGTTGAAGTTCTAAGCCCTTGGAGTGGCAGTTGATAACTGCAGGCTTCACCGCTGAGTGCTTGTTGGGTAAATAGTTGGGAGAGATCTAAGGTCCTTCCTTTTGGGCTGCTCTGATCACCCAAAGAAGATCTTAGAAGATCTTCCCCAGATCTTAGCTGAGTGGTAAGCAGCATCCTGGGAACTGAGTCAAGAGAAAAAGGTTGTGGAATTGGTGGGTCTCTGCACCCTGTGTGCATGTCACCACAGTTCCTGTGCTTCCAGTAGTTGCCCATCCTTCTAGGCCTTGTGTCCCCTAACCCCCATTGTGCTTTTTAATGCCATCCAGAGAATAAGGCTCCATTCTTTTGCTGGGGTGGGAGGGAAGCATGTACGGATATGGCTGTTTCCTAAATGGACTTTCAGCCAAATCCCCCTTATTATAAGTATCTCTCTCTATTCTTCCATCTGCTAACCACTTACAAGGCTTACTGAGATTCTGTAACATAAATCAGGGTGAGTCCTTGCTTTCTGTATTTCTTGCTCAGAAATCAGTTTCTCGGACTTCCTTAAGTCCTTATTCTTTTCTCCTTTTTCCCCCAACATTACAATTTTTGTGTCAGCTGCTTCCTTTATACCCTTTTTCTTAAAAAAACAACTCTGTTTTTATAATGGATTGTTGGTGATATATGAATGTACATGTGTGTGTTTGATCCACTATCCTGACCTGCAAGGCCTATTGCTTTTAGTTCTTCTCTCTTCACTGTCCCCCAGGATAGAGCTAAACTTCCTCTTGTTCTTAGTGTTGGTCTTGGCTCATTACTTTGATGGCGTTAGGGAGTTGTTTGTATAAATTTTTTTGTCACATTTTTATGCTGTAACATATTTGAGCACAGATACTGTTGTCTTATTCTGGTCTGTCTCCCTGAACAGTGTCTTGCACACAATAGGTATTCATTAAACATTGGTAGAGTTCAGCTTGGTTGTCTTTTGACTTCTACACTGCCCAGAGTGTGTCCCTAACTATTCCTTAGGGTTTTCCTGGAACCTTGAGAGCAGCTCTCTTGGCTACCATGATTAGTTGATCCATCTGATTCTTTTTTATCCAGTCTGTGTTGTGGAAGAGTAGAGGAAGAAAAGAAAAGATAGATGGGAAAGAAAAAAGAGGAACTAAGGTTAAAGAACTAGGAAAAAGAACTACAATAAAACAGTAGATCAGTTCACATATCTACATGTTTATGTTTGAAAGTATTAACTGGGGGTTTTTTTGTGGCAAGAGCCTTTACCCACTGAGCCATCTCTCCAGCCCAGTTGACTTTCTTTGTATTGAGGAATATGTCAAAGCTGTGATTAAAGGCTCTAGACCAACTGAATTTAAAATTTTTTAGAATGTTTATTACTTTAAAAAAGAAAGACTACTTTTAAAAATCAGACCCCACAATACCTTGAATATTATGTATTTGTAAGACTGATTACTTATTTGAAAATAAAGCACATAAACCAAAGTAAACTTTTTTCTCTTTTTAAAATAAAAGTTTTTTGCTCTTGAGCAAATAAATGTTTCTTGTTACCTTGCCTGTAGTCTATAAGCCTTAATTATCATCTAAGCTAATTGTTTTTTAGTTATATAGTTTCAAGATAAATTGCTTTGTTTGTTTTTGGGGGTAGATAATAGATTCAGATGAATTTTAGGATCAAGTTAACATAGGGCTTATTAGTAGTTGACAGTCTATCATCTATTTTTATGGATTTTGGGTTGTTTTGTATGTCTACCTTTATAATTTGTATATGGTCCCATTTGATTGTGTGAATCAGGACAGATCTCCTTGGTATTTATGAAAAAAACTACCTGAAGTACAAATCTATTTGGTTATAGAGTCATAATTTGAACCTAAATCTTTTGATTCTTAAACTTCTGTATGTAATTATAGTAGAAAAACTGAATTAAGAGTTAAAAGAACATATTTTGAGGGGGGAGGGAAAGACGTATTATAACTAAACAAATAATTCCATCCAAAACAAATAAATATTTACAAGTTTCTGGGTTTTACTAGATACTAAATATCTCTTTCTAGTCCTCACAGCATCTGTGAGCCAATAGGTATTTCTTATGTGGTTGTGTGATACAGTGCCCTCATTCTTTTCTGTGAATTCATTCTTCAGGTGCTTCATGCAGACATCTGTACCCAGAGTGCACTTCTGCAAAATGCTGATGTCATTATAATGAATAATGTCTTTGAATATTTTCTTAATGAGGCTGACCAGGCCAGGTATGTTATTTCCTGAAACAAGAAATCTGTTATTAAAATATATCTAGCAAGGTATGAAAACAGGTTAGTGTGGAGAAATGTTTTCCTAATAACTTTTAAAACAGACTCAACTTTAAAAATTTTTTTACTTATTTTTATTTTATGTGTGTGAGTGTTTTGCCTGCATGTTTGTAAGTGCACCATGAGTGTTCAATGCCTACAGAGGCCAGAAGAGGGCATCAGATCTTCTAGAACAGGAGTTACAAACTGTTGATAGCTGTCATGTATGTGCTAGGAACTGAACCTTAGTTCTCTGCAAGAGCAGTGAGTGCTCAACCACAGAGCCATCTTTCTAGCCCCTTTTTTAATTTTTTTCATTTATTTATTTATTTTTGGTCTTTTTGAGACAGGGTCTCCTTGTAACCCCAGCTGTCCTGGAACTCACTATGTGGACCAGGCTGGCCTTGAACTCATAGAGATCCGCCTGCTTCTGCCTCCCGAGTGCTGGGATTAAAGGCATGTGCCACCACGCCCAACTCTTTTTTTTTTTTCTTTTAATTTTTTATTTATTCTTTTGACAGTTTCATACATGAATATTAACTTATTTTTAATAAGGAAATGTGTTAAATATAGGATTTTTAGCAAAAATATGTAATTTTGTAAAATGTTATATTTCATTCTTTTTTTAATATTTTATTATTTTTATTTTATGTGTATGAGTGTATTGCCCACAGGTATGTGAATGCACCCGTGTCGTGCAATGCCATGGAGGTCAGAAAAGGGCTTCGGATTCCCCTGGAACTGAGTTAAGCATGGTTCATAGCTGCCATGTGGGTGCTGGGAATTGAACCCGGGTCCTCTGCAAGAGCAGTCACTGCTCTTAACCGCTGAGCCATCTCTCCAGCCCCTATATCTCATTCTTAATTTTTTTCTCCATTTATTATTTAGAGTGTTTATGTGCATGCCAGAGAAGGTATGTGGAGGTCAAAGGGCAACTTGTGGGAGTCACTTCTCTCTTTCCATCATGTGGGTTTATGGATGGGTCCTCAGGCTTCGTGGCACACACCTTTACCTATTAAGTCATCTCATCAACCCCTCTTATATCTAACTTTTGGTATATATAAAATGATGTCATGACTTATGCATTAAAATACAATTAGCTAACAATTCACAAAGTCTTTGTACTTAACTTTTTTCTGCCCTGGTTTTCTTGTTTGTGAAATATGTTATATGTTACTGTCCTATTTTCTTAGTTTCTTTTTAAATTTATTTTTATTATTTTATGCATATGAGTATACTGCCTACATGTATGTAAGTGCACCCATGTTGTACAGTGCCCATGGAAGTCAGAAGAGAGCATCAGATTCCCTGGAACTAGAGTTACAGACGGCTGTTAGCCACCATGTGGGTGCTGGGAACTGTGCCTGGGTCTTCTGCAAGAGCAGCCAGTGCTCTTCACCACTGAGGCATCTCTCCAGCCCCTTGAGTTAGTTTCTTTTCCTGTTGCTGTGATAAAGTACTCTGACAAAAGCAACTTAAGGGAGAAAGGGTTTATTTAGGTCAGAGCTCCAGGTTACAGTCCATCATGACAGGTTGTCAAGGCAGCAGGAACTTGAAGCAGCTGGGCACTGACATCCACAGTCAGAAATAGAAAGCAATAAATTCATGCATGCTAGCGCTCAGGTTACTTTCTCCACTCTTAGCAGTCCAGTATCCCCTACCTAAGGAATGGTCCCATCCAGGGTCAACAGGCCACCTCAAGGCAATCAAAATAATCCCCCAGAGGCATATCCAGAGTCTTTTAGGTGATTCTAGATTATGTCAAGTTGACAAATTAACACTAATCATCACATCTACCATAAAAAAGGAGGAATTAACTGAGGTTTATAAAAAGGCTGAGAATATTAACCTAGAAAAAGCAATGATTAATTATGTGTTCTGTTTTTTGTTTGTTTTGTTTTTTCAGTTCTGGACATTAAATGTAGGACCTTATATATGCTAAGCAAATGCTCTACCTCTAAGCTTCATCTCCAGCCCCTAAAAATGTTCTTAAGGGAGTAATAATGGGTTCCTGGATCTGGTTGATTTCTTATTTTTCTTAATGGCATGTGAATGCCATAGATGGATGAAAATTCCTTCTCATGTATGTTTGAAACAAAATTACACCAATAAGTTTGCATCCCTGTGTCAGTGAAGTTTCCATATAGGGTAAAATGCACATAATTATAAGTCAAATAATTCAATACTGGGTAGACTATTGGTGGCTAAACTTCTTTACTCTGCCACTACTTTACCTTCTATACATTCACATTCTTGCTCTCCCCCATCCATGACAGTTACTTAAAGTCATTATGAAATTAACAGTTTAAATCTTTTGAAAAACTTGTTCAGTGGAAAGCTTTTCATAGAATCATAGCTGTAAGAATGGGAGGTGATTTTTGTCACCGACTAAAAGGCTAACAACACGATCAGCAAAGTTGTAATGCAGTGCCCCTTCAAACATAATTTCCAGTGGACAAAATATGATTAACTTCTTGCCTTTACATTTTTGTTTTGAGACAGTGTCTTGCAGTTTTTCATAGGTTGGCCTTGAACTTCCCATTGCCTACTTAGAGCTGGGCCACAGGCATATACCACCATACCCAGCAGTTTTTAGCCTTTTAAAACAGTGACAGAAAGCCAGGTGTGATGATGCACACCTGTAGTCCCAGCACTTGGGAGGCAGAGGCAGGCGTATCTGTGAGTTCAAGGCCAGCCTGGTCTACATAGTGAGTTCCAGGACAAGCTGGGGCTACAGGGAGACCCTGCTTCAAAAAGACCAAAAAAAAAAACAGTGACAGGTAGACAGGTAGATAGAATGTTAATTGTTGAAGAATGAAATATCACCAGGTTTATTTTATAAGAAATTGAAAAACAGCCTTAAATTTTTTGGAGATTCATTATGCAAAGATTTGGAATGCTGAAGAATAATCCCGGCTGTTGGCAAACTACATATGGGAAAACTGCATCTTCAGATTGTTCCTAAAACTTTCTTGATAAGTCAACTGTGATGGTGCACAGCTTTAATTCCAGCACTCATAAGGCAGAGGCAGACCGATCTCTGGGTTCAAGGCCAGCCTGGTTCACATAGAGAATTCCAGGCCAGCCAGGGCTACATAGTGAAAACTGCCTCAAACAATAATAAAAAAAAAACTTCTGATATATTCATTCATAAACACTACATGATTCCTGAGTAAGTAGTGACACATGATATAATTTAATCACTTCTACATTAATCTAAGGCAATGAATTCACTAACTTAGCTGTTCAAGGTATCCTCTTCCTAGGCTACATGAGACCTGTCTCAGACAGACAAACAAACCATGCTAGTCTGCATTACTTCTTCAGTCTTCTATTAAATAGACTTGTAAAATATATTATTTTTTAGGCACCACATCACAACAAAAAAAAATAGCTCAAGTCCAGACAGTGACATTTATTATTGAACAGGGCTGCATGACAGTTATATTCACCCTAAGAAAAAGAGCATTGTATTATTTTGATAATAAGTTCTGAAAGTCATTAAACCTACTAGCCATTGCTGCAACTAAATAAGTAAAAATGATACTGCCACCCACCACCCACACCCACCTAACCCCCTGACCCACTGTAAGAAATGTGTTCGCCTGGTACAGTGCACTACCAAAGTCATACATGATATAAAGTCCAGTGCATATTAGCACTGAGTTAAACAAAACTACTCAAACACACACCGCCCTCCAACACACATGCACATATTTTTCCATCATGCTTTAGAGCTGGCTGGTCCCACCATACTTCTCAGGTGCCATGTTATGCATGCAGGAATCCCATCCCTGAAATATTACAGACAGCCAAATGAGGTATGATTTTACTCTTGATGTGGTTTTTATTTTTTTATTTTTAAAAAATATTTTATTGTTTTTATTTTATGTGTATGTGTGTTATGCCTGCATGTAGGTAAGTGCACCCGTGTCGTGCAGTGCCCTCAGAGGACAGAAGAGGCTGTTGGATCCCCTGGAACTGGAGTTATAGACAGTTGTTAGCTGCCATGTGGGTGCTGGGATTCAAACCTGAGTCTTCTGCAAGAACAGTCAGTGTTCTTAACCGCTGAGCCATCTCTCCAGCCCCTGGTGTGGTTTTTAAAAGATCTAATCTACACATCACACATACTGCTGGTCTCTGGTTTCTGGCCTCTGTGCCCTTTGTTTTCCAGGCCTTCAGCTCCCAGCAGTCTCAGCCCTGGTCCAGTCTATAGGACTGATTCTCATGCTTCATAAAGAAGTTATGAATACTTTAATGCTGATCCTGCTTTGATTTGGGTGGTCCTGAGCACTTAATTTGGGCTTTATTCAGAATACTTTGCAGTAGGCTATATCTCCATCTTGTTAATCTCAGTACTTTAACCTCATAGTTTTGCCAGCACCCTTCAGGAACTGGAAAATTTACCGATTTCTAGTGTGTTGTTGTGGTTCTGTTTCCTGTGGGTAAACATGATTGTCCATCTAGATTTCTAGATATTGCCTGCATTTTCGTTTGTCATCATTTAGGAAATGTCAGGTTTTGGCTTTGGTTTGCTTTTTTATCTGGCTATAGAATCATTGATAGGGACATGATTTGGATGTTTTTTTTTAAAAAAAATACTTTTTGTTTATTTTTTGAGGTATGGTCTCCCTGTAGCTCCAACTGGCCTGGAACTTGCACTCCTACCTGGGTCTCACAGAAATCTGCCTCTGGCACTTGCACACACCTCCACCCCCACCCCACCCCCAGTGCTGAGATTAAAGACATACACCACCACACCCAGCAGTTTTTTGTTTTTTTGAGACAGGATCTGGTTCTGTAGCCAAATGGGTGGCCTGGAACTCAACTTGTAGCCTAGGCTGACCTTGAACTCAAGGTCAGTTTCCACAGTGCTGGGGTTAGAGGCAGGCTCAAGAGTATATTTAGTTACGTAAGAAACCAGAAAACTGGGTTGGGGAATATAGCTTAGAGATGGAGTACTCATTTAGCATGCTTGAGGTGAGAGAGAGAGAGAGAGAGAGAGAGAGATTGATTTTCATTCTGCATAAGTATAATAATTCCTTACTGTTGTTTTAATATGTCTGTTTTAAATATGTTGTAGAGCTTGGGACTATATTAGCCATAATGTGAGGAAACAAGGATCATTATTAGTGACAGTACCAAGTCTAGAAGATGCTCTCTTGGATCTTCAGGTACGTAACCACTTTTCTCATGGTTGGTTGGTTGGTTGGTTGGTTTTGAGGGCAGTGGAGATTAAACCTAGGGCTCATGCATGCTAACCTTTTTCCCGGCCCTCCAACATTTTTCTTATCAAAACTACTGCTTTTTTCTGATAGTTGTTACAACATTCTAGAAATATTGTCTGAAATAGTGACAGATGATAGAATAGTAAGAACTTATTGTTTAAGGACTGGTTTGTTTCTGGCCTTAAGAGCTGAAATGTAATTCATATCTGGATATAAATTTCCTCACTTCTCTACACAATTTTTAATAACTGTGGGGTCAAAGTTTTATGTTAATAAACACTAGTAAATGTTAAGAGTCTTAGAACATCTGCATTACAGCCAGGTGGTGGTGGGAGGGGTTGCCATGTCTGTAGCCCAACCTACATAGGAAGGTGAGAGATGATCACTTGACCCAGTAGTTTGAGACCAGTCCGGGCAACAGAGCCCTCTTCTCAAAAAATACAACTAAGAAGTTAAAATTTTAAAAATGAACAACTGAGCCAAACTTGGCTGCACATGCCTTTCATCCCAGCACTGGGAAGGCAGAGGCAGGCGGATCTGTGTGAGTTTGAGGACAGCCTGAACTGTATAGCGAGTTCCAGGCCAACTGGAGCTACAGAGAGACCCTGTCTCAAAAAGATGAAAAATAAATTAATTAATTAATTAAAAATGAACAACCACATCATAAGTCTGTCCCTCAGAATAGAAGGAATGGAGTTAGCCAGCAAAATGATGCATGCCTATATTACTAGGGAAATTGAGGCAGGAAGATTGAGCATTTGAGGCCAGCCTGGGCTATGTAGTGAGACACCCTGTCAAACAAAATCAAGGACTGCAATGGGAATTGAGTTGTCTAAGGCTTTTAGAATCCAACAAGCAAAATGGAAGACTATAGTCTGTATGTAATTTGATTTCCCAATTCAGTTTGAAAATTTTTTCTTGATCTATGGCCCAGGCTAGCTTCAAAGTCTTGGCAGTCTCCCTGCCTCAGTATGATGATTGGTAGTGTCAACTGGACAGAATCTAGCATCACCTTGCATCTGAACTCCAATCTCATGATTGTGCAGCAAGCACTTTTCTTAACCGCTGAACCATCTCTCCATCCCTAATTTTCTTGTTATAATGAGAAAGTAATCCAGAGATGTATAAAGAAAGATAGTTTGTTCCCACTACCCCTTCATTTCCTCAGTGAAAGTGCCACCCCATTAGTGTAGTGGTCATCAGGGGTGATCCTGATGGTTGGTTGGTTGTGATCCTGCCATAATTTGCCATACTCATTCACATCCCTTTCAAAAATATTGTTCCTGATTGATATAATTCATATATATAAGACTTTAGTGATTTTTTTTCCTTCACTTACCAAAATAATAGTTTTTATACTGCATACTTGAATCTGTCCAAACAACCTGGAATTTCAACAGTCTATAGAGGCAGCAACAAGGAGGTTCATGAATGGTCTCAAGGACATCTTGGCCTATATAATAAGACCCTATCTCAAAAACAAAACTGTTGGGCATGGTGGCTTACACCTTTAATCCCAGCACTTGGGAGGCTGAGGCAAGCAGATCTCTGAGTTCAAGGCAAGCCTGGTCTGCATAGCATGGTCTAGGCCATCTGGGGCTACAGGGAGATCCTGTCTCAAAAAAAAAAAAAAAAAACAAAAGGGGGCCAGGCATGGTGGTGCGTACCTTCAGTCCCAGCACTCAGAGTCAGAGGCAGGCGGATCTCTTTGAGTTCAAGGCCAGCCTGGTCTACATAGCAAGTTCCAGGCCAACTAGGGCTACAGAGAGACCCTGTCTCAAAAAGAATATATATATAGTGCAGTTGGTAATGTAGGAGGTATGAGGACCTGAGTTTTCTCCCCTAAACCCTCTTATGAAAAAGACAAGTGTGGTAGCACACATACTGTAATCCCAGCACTAAAGAGACAGACAAGTGGATCCCTGGGACTTGGTTGGCAGCTAGCCTAGCCTAATAGGTGAGCTACAGGCCAATGAAAGACCTTGTCTCAGTAAGTATGGTATTCAGTATCTGAGGAGCATCTGATGTTGACCATTGACCTCCACAAACACTCATATGCATGTACACACATGATGCACTCACACATACAGTAATGAATACACACAAACACACAAAAAATAACAAATGAAAAAAATTTTTTAAGCCAGGCTTGGTGAGACAGGCCTATAACCCTGCAATGTAGGGAGACTAAGGCATGATAATTGAGAATTAGTTTCAGGCCAGCCTGTCTCAAAAAAATGTTTATGAACGAGACCTTATACATAAACTGTCAGTGACCTGATTGCTTTGTTATTAGGAAAGCTACTTCAGGGCCCCAATGAGATGGCTCAGCAGGTAAAGGCATGTGCTGTGAGGGCCTGGTACACTTGAGTTCAGTCCCTAGATCTCACATGGTAGAAGAAGAGAACTCACGGCTGGAGCAATGGCTCAGCAGCTAAAAACACTGACTGCTCTTGCAGAGGACCTGGATTTGATTCCCAGCACCCACATGGCAGCTATGAACCGTCCTTGACTCCAGTTCTAGGGGAATCTGATGCCCTCTTCTGACCTCCGAGGCACTGCATGACATGGGTGCACCTTACATGCATGCAGGCAATACACTCATACACATAAAATAAAAATAAAAGATCTCAAGGGTTGTGTTCTACACACCAGACATGGCAGGCGCACACATACACACACACACACACTAATTAATTTGAAAAAGAAAACTAGGGGTTGGAGAGCCAGCCTCAGCAATTAAGAGCATTCGCAGCTCTTCCAGAGAACAATAGTTCAGTCCCCAGAACCCTGTAACTCCAGCTCCAGGGGATCCAGTGTCCTCTTCTGGCCTCTGTGGGCACCTGCACACATGTGGTATGCACTTACACATACGCCCCCCCATACACACACACACAAATTTTAAGTAAATTTTTAAATCTACTTTAAACAGATATGTGCAGTAGTGGCTGCAGCATTTTGTAGAGGCTCAAGGTTGTAATGATGAAGAGAACAGGATATGGAGGGAGATTGCTCCTAACCAGTACTGTGGATATATGAACAATTTTTCTGTGTATTCCTATTGTTGTTCTAGTCTTTATTAAGCCTGATGATCATTATTACACAAGCTACATTAGAATAATTCTCAATTTTCTTCTTTCAAGTTCCAAAATAAGAGTAAATTAAGTCACCAAATCCACGGGTTTATTATTTAGAACAACAGAATTTATTCGTATAGCAGCATCTAAACTTTGACCTGTTCATTGTAATAAAAATCTGTTGAGGAATGTAATTAGGATGATATTTTGAAATTCTGAATAATAAAATCATTCTTAAATTTTCATGTTTATAACTTTTTTTTCACAGACTAATATACAGTTATCCTCTTGGGTTGAAGAGGTTCCACTGAGCTATGATGCATACCCACATAAGGACATTGACAGAGAAGCTCTTGAACAAATTCATCTGTATAAGATTCTATAGTGCTAAAATAATTTTCTCTAGTGTGATATATTGTTGAGTCTGTTACAAAATAATAATGAACATCCCCAGTATGCTAATATATGTTTTATATATTCCCTTTCAAACTTTATATGTGTGTGTTTACATACTTGTAAACAGTTGTATATGGTTGTATGTATGCAATAGTTGTATACAGATACAATAAACTTTATGTGATAATTTAAAAATTCATCTGAAATGTTTTTGCCTGCACTTTTATATTGTTAAAAATATAAATGTGCCAGCTGTGGTGGTGTGTGCCTTTAATACCAGCCCCTAGGAGGCAGAGGCAGGTAGATCTCTGGGAGAGAGTGAGGCCAGCCGGGTCTACATAGCAAGTAAGTTCCAGGCCAGGTGGGGCTACGGGGAGACCCTGTCTAAAAAGTAACAACTACAAATACATGTGAGTGTTAATATACATAAATTTTTTTTATTATTTTTATTTTATGTGTATGCGTGTATTGCCTGCATGTAGGTAAGTACACCTGTGTTGTGCAATGCCCGAGGAGAACAGAAGGGACTGTCAGATCCCCTGGGACTGGAGTTACGGACAGTTGTTAGCTGCCATGTAGGTGCTAACCTGGGTCTTCTGCAAGAACAACCAGTGTTCTTAACCGCTGAGCCATCTCTCCAGCCCCTATTCTCTTAATCTTTGTCTGAAGAGTCTAGGAAGGACTACATTTTTTTAAAAAGTTTATTGGAAAAAGTGAAGCTAGAAACAGCTTCCAAACAATGTGTAGAGACCATATCTGGGTAAAACCACTACTTGTGACTCATTTTCTTTCCTGTCCCATATTTTTCTTTCTTTTTTTTTTTTTTTTTTTTTTTTTTTTTTTTTTGTTTTTTTTTTTTTTTTTTTTTTTTTTTTTTGGTTTGAGACAGGGTCTCCCTGTAGCCCCAGCTGGCCTGTAACTGACTATGTAGACCAGTCTGGCCTTGAACTCACAGAGATCTACCTGCCTCTGCCTCCTAGGGGCTGAGATTAAAGGTGTATGCCACCGTGCCCAGCTAATACTTGAGCTTTTCAAAAGCAATGAAAAAATTCCCAAAGTTTTAGCTTAAAGGGAGGAGAGGACAACTCATTGAGATGATAAATGATCTGTTTGAAATGACTCAGCTTTTCAACTTCATCTTAGTTTATTTCCTTGCAAAATAGACATTATTATTTAGGTCAAACTAGAAACTGCAAATAAGAGGCATGCTTGCTATTGAATTGAAGAACTGATAAAAGCACAGACTTCAGGAGTTAGAAAACCTCAAGATAAAGTCCAACTTCATTTTCTCACAGGAAGAAAAACTGTACTTGAAGCTTTCAAAATCCATCTGCACTCTGGCAACATGGGGCCCACAGGTTAAGATATAAGATGAAGCTTAAAAAGTGTGTAAGTTGCCAGGTATGGTCGTGCACACCTTTAATCCCAGCATTTGGGAGGCAGAAGCAGGAGGATCTCGGTGAGTTCAAGGCCAGCCTGGTCTACATAGCAAGTTCCAGGCCAGCTGGGGATACAGGGAGACCCTGTCTCAAAAAGACGAAAAAAAAAAAAATGTTAGTTGATACTGAGAAACTAAAGCATTCCTATACATTGCTGGTAAAAATTCAAAATGCTTTGGAAAACACTTGGGTAGCTCCTCAGAATGTTAAACATAGAGTTACTGTATGACCTAACATTTCCTCTTGTAGAAATATACCCAAGACAAAACATGTCCAAGGAAAAACATACACAAATGTTCATAGCATGTTATATATCATAACCTTAGGATACAGGTGTGGTGTCAAAGGCCTGTGATCCTGGCACTCAGGAGGCTGAGACAGGATTGCCTCTTCAAGATCAGCAAGCCCCTGTCTCTAAAAGGGGGAGCACATGCATGATTTGTAGAGAGGGTAGTAAAGGTTATGCAAATGTCACTAGGTTCACCAGAGAACTGAGATAATTTTTAGCACTATCACTATGATATGTGGACATAAAGTTCTAGCTGAATGCTCTAGGGCCCTGCAGTCTTCTATTCATGTTATGTGTGTCTGCTGGGGCCCTGACGGGTGTCCGCCACATTCCTAACATATCCATTTTTAGCACTAAAGATCCATTTTACTTTGAGTGATTACATGAAACAAGGTCTGAAACTTGCTGACCAAGATCTAAAAAACAAAGCAGGCTGCCCCCAATTCAGTAAGGCAGCAGGTCTAAAACCAGTGGAGTATGCTAGCCTTTTTCTATTTATTTAGTTTCCTTCACGAAAACTACATGTTTAAAACCTTCCACACCTTTGTTGGCACAAAGGTAATGCTTTTCTGCTTGAAAAATGTGAACTAACTCATCTGAGATGGTGTGATCTTTTTTTTTTTTTAATGATTCAAGGATTTATTAAGTCATACATGCAAAACTGATCTTTTTTAATAGTCCCTGGTAAAGATATATTTTTCTTTCCCTTTCTTTTCTTTTCTTCTCTCTCTCTCTCTCTCTCTCTCTCTCTCTCTCTCTCTTTTGTGCTTCTCTTTGTCTCTGCATCTCTCTTTTTTTGTCTTCCTGGAGCCCCAGCTGGCCTGGAACTTGCTATGTAGACCAGGCTGGCCTCAAACTCACAGAGATCCACCTGCCTCTGCCTCCCAGTGCTGGGATTAAAGGCGTGTGCCACTGTCGAACACCCCCAAGCCCACTAGGCTTGGGTCTTCAACAAGGACACTCAAGCAAAAGTCTGAAGTTATACGAGGAACTTATTGAAAGCAAGGCAGGTACAGGTCGGGGAGAGATCTCCAGAAGGAACTCCTCTGTGGGTTCCCACAGGTCCTTTTTGTCTGACTTGGAGTTGGGGTTACCTAGGTGATTTTTTTCTAACAGAAACAAAAAAGTTACTATGGATACAGCACGTAGCTGCATCTTCCAGAAGATCTGATTTATCATACAGGTACACCTGTCAGCTCTGACCGCTGAAGCAGAGAGCTCAGAAGCTCTTAAAGTGGCACTCTTCTAATTTCCAATGCTTATATCAAGCACGGCTCCCGACACACCACCGCGCCTGGTTGCAATAAATTGTTTTTAAAAGAAAACTTTCAAAGTGAAATAAATATATCTTTAGCCAGGTATAGTGGTGCATGCCTTTAATCCCAGCACTCAGAAGGCAGACGCAGGCAAATCTCTGTGAGGTCGAGGCCAGCCTGGTCTCCATAGAGAATCCAGGCCAGGTAGGGCTACAGGGAGACCCTGTCTCAGACCAAAAAAAGAAAAACAAAACAAAAAACAAAACCAATTTCTTCTGAGTTACTGTTTCTGTTCTCTTATTTGGCAACATGTGCTAGAATGTTGTATTACTTTTGGCTCCCTTAGAGTAACAACTGGCCTGGTGAAAATTAAATTTTGTGTTCAATATCTCTGTGAGTTCAAGGCCAGCCTGGTCTACATAGGGAGTTCCAGAACAGCTGGGGCTACAGAGAGACCCTGTCTCAAAAAGACAGGAAAAAACTTTCCCTCCCAGAAAAGTATCAGGTTCTTGGATTTCAGATTCTAATTTCCTATGGGACATTGCTTAAATTGTGATCAATGTAATTAATCTGAATGTCACTGAGTAAGGATAAATCTCACATTCCTTTATTTAATGGGGAAAGTTGCTTAAATCATACCCATTCATGTAGAAGAACTTAGGTTTACTGGGGGTGGGGGGAGGGGTTGTTGTCACAATGGGGCCTGGAGTTCTTAGCCACTTGTGTCAGACTGCCTTTTGTTAAATGATGCTTTTCTAGTCCTTTCCTGAGTGGATTTTGTATTCAACATATTGTGGCCTGTACTTTGTATTAATTGGCCATCTGTTGTCATTAAAAAAGTGTCTGTAAAAAAGTTTAAAAAAAAGACAGGAAAAAAAAATGTTTGGTCTGGAGAAATGACTCAGTGGTTAAGTGCACTGGCTACTCTTGAGAGGATTCAGGTTTAGCTCCCAGCACCCATATGGTGGCTAACAACCATTCGTAACTCTAGTTCCAGGGGATCTGACACCTTCTTCTGACCTCCTCAGGCATTGCAGGACACGGGTGTACTTATCACACATTCGGGCAGTACACTCATACACATAAAATAAAAATGATAAAAATATTTTTTAAAATTCAAATGCAAAATACATTCTTATGCAACACTTGGATTATGCATTTAGTTAAGAAAATATTAGAAAATTAAACATTTATTGTGTGGCTTCTACTACCCTCTGTGAGGGGTAGTATTAATCTCCTACTTAAAATAATTTGAAAACTTGGCAAAGCATGAGATAAAGAAAAAGAAACCATATTAAATGAGAAAGCTAAAGCAATTGAATATGGTACAATTCTCTATATATATAAAATAAACTCTCATGAAAGAAGTCAGGTCAGTGTTTGATTGGGGCAGAAGGCTAGGAAGGGATGGATGACTTGCAAGAGGGAACTCTTGGGGGGAAATTCTTATCCACAGGGATATACTTAGGCCATGCATGGTTTTTACATGTTAATTATATTTCAGCAATACTGTATGATACCAATATTAGATGTAATACTAATTTTAAATGTGCATAAAACCTTGCAAATTACCTTCATCTAATTGCTTTATTTGCTAAGATTATAGCCTTTTAAAATATTTTATTATTACTATTTTTTGTTCTTTTTTGAGACAGGATCTCCCTGTAGCCTCAGCTGGCCTGGAACTCACTATGTAGACCAGGCTGGCCTTGAACTCACAGAGATCTGCCTGTCTCTGCCTCCTGAGTTCTGGGACCAAAGATGTATGCCACCACGCCCAGCCTTTATTTTTTTTTATGTGTATGAGTGTATTGCTTGCATGTATGTGAATGTACTGTGTCATGCAATGCCATGGAGGTCAGAAGAGGGCATTGGATTCCTCTGGAACTGAAGTTAAGGTTTATAGTTGTCATGTAGGTGCTGGGAATCAAACCCAGGTCCTCTGTAAGAGCAATCAGTGCTCCCAACCACTGAGCCATCTTTCCAGCCCCAGATTATAGCCTTTTTGAATGATCAATGATCAAATATATATTATCACCACCAACTCGTGGGTTTTTTGTTTGTTTTTTTTTTTTTTTGAGACAGGGTCTCATATAGCCCAGGCTGGCCTTGAACTCAATAGGTAGTCAAGGATGACTTGGAACTTAACATCCTGCTTCTACCTTCCATGTGCTAGGATTACAGGCATGTACCACTACACCCTAGCCTGTCATTC